AATTTCTTTTTGTAACACTTGGCCTGTCTGTGATGTGTGGTTTCAGCCAGAAGCAGAGCTTGGAATACTCTGGCTTTCTTTGTAATATTTTTCTCCTGGTAAACTAAGTTTCTCCCAGTGTGGCATGCCCTGAATGCTGCCATATATTGTGATCATGCCACCAGCTGTGGCATTTGGATCTGCTGTTGCTGTGCTGCTGGGTAAGATCACTTGAGCACCTCGTGTCTGGTGTGGGACACATTGTTTGACGTGTGGCACTGAGGGGCAGAGTGGCAGAACTGTTGGATGGCAGTGCTGGCTCTTCAGAGCAGCAGAGGGGAGAGGGCAGCTCACAAGGGAGTTTGAGGAGTGCTGCTGCTGCAGAAGCTGAGCCCTCAGTGCTGGCTTCCAGCTCCATTGGCTTCCCAGAGCTTGTGTGTTTCTGCTGGGGGGTGTGTGGCAGGAGATCAATGAGCTTCTGCTGGAGTGCTGGCTCCAGGAGGGAGGCAGAGTGAATTCCCTTTTCCTGAGATGGTTTGCCCAGCAGAGCAATGGATGTGATTGCCCCAGATTACAGATTCCAGTTGGGGGTTGCTGAGTGTCTGTGAGTGAGACCAGAGCTGGCAAATACTTGAATCAAAACTCAGAAATCATCAGAAAAATCCCTCCTCCCTTTAAAAAGGCAAAGGAAGCTTCAGCTCCAGCACCAGGACAATCCATGCTGAAGTTATTTCTCATTTTTGGCAGATGAGTGTATTCATGTTCTGTCACAGTCCCCAGTGCCAGGGGAAAGCTTGCTGAGAAAAGGTCATGTTTTAATGGTGGCTGAATTAGGAATGAAAACTAGAACTGAAAACTAGATCATTCTTAGACAAGCACCTAACACTGATCGTGGCTGTCAGCTTTTAATCCATGTTCTGAAGGAGAATCCCAGGAGGGCCCTGTGTGCTTTGCCCTGTTTCATCTTCAAATGCTGCTGGTGCCTGCAGCCAGTTGTAGCTTAAGCTGTTGTTTGGTCCTGTTTTTCCTGCCTGTGGGGAGCAGAGCATGTTGGGGTTATTTGGGAATGTCTGAAATGCTGCCACATGGGCTGGAAATTCTAGTGAAACCAAGGGACCAGAACTTTCTGTCTAACAAACATTATTCTCCTTGACAGGGGATAATGGTGTCTGCTGTGGCTGCCTCCCCAGTGGGTGCTGGGTTTTTCTTGTGGGTCTAATTCTTTGCTTGGCAGAAATTTAAAAACCTCTCTGGCTTCATGTAGGGAACTGTGTCTTTGACCTGCCTTATGATTCTATCCTGTCTTAATCCAACCAAAAACCAAACTCCCTTCCATGAAGACACCTGGGGTAGATCCAAATGCTTTTAATAAACAACTTCATTATAAAAGATGCTTTCAATTTGAACTTCATTTTGCAAGAGCTAATTTTAGTGATGAACCATACATTTCCTAATGGCACTTAATTAGAATTTAAAAACCTTGTTTACAGCCCCCAAAACACTCCTTTAAAAGAGGTTATTCACTCTGTGTAAAAGTGCTAGAAAGTTTGTTTTTAGAAAGCCAGTGGAACTGTAACAATGGGAAGTTTCTGGCTTTGGCAGCTGTAGCTGCAGGGAGGGAGGTCAGGCACGGGGCCTGTCCAGAACCAGCACAAGAAGGGACAGTGTGAAGGGAGGGACACTGTGGCTTTCCCCTGCCATGGCTGATCCCAAACCCTTCACCTTCCAGTGGGATGTGTATAGGCTTCTGTGGGGGACAGCAGAGCTTGTGCTGGGAGAGGGTTTTTGGTATGATTTGTGGCTGCAAAGGCCACTCTGTAGCTTTTCTTCCAGCAGCAGTTTTGGAGCTTGGCTGCTCCCAGAGGTTCCACAGGTTCTTCTTTGTCCTTCTTGTAGCCACCCCAGGTCTCAAGAGTACATCAGCTGACAGCTCTGTGTTCTTCAGTATCCTCATTCAAGGAAAACACTGGTTCAAATGTTACAAAACAGTCTTTCAAAAAATTGCTCCTAGATATCAGGAATCACTGAAATGGGAAAGCTCCACAAAGCATCAAGGCTGAGGCACTCAGCAGGGTGAGGAGATCTCAAACTCCAGAAAGGCTTCTAGCAGAAGTCTTGGATGTGCTGTAGCATGCACCTGGTGTGGCACCCTGAAGTGGGTTCTGAGGGCTGTGAGCCAAGCTTGTGTTCCCTTCTTGCAAGACAGTGACTACAGAGGGAGAAGGGCTGCAGGCAGGTCCCTGGCCTGTTCACCTGGACACTCAGCCAGCCTGGCCTGTCCCTGTCCTGCAGGCCCTGGAGCTGTCCCCAGTCCACTCAGTGCATTCCATGCTAGAGCTGGTTATCCCCTTGCACAGTAGTTCGAAACAAAGACACAAAAGTGAAGAATGGTTGGTTTGTAACAAGACACTTCAATGTTGAGGATTCTTCCCCCAGCTGAAGAGCTGACCTATTTATAGTAATAAAAAAATTAATTCCAAATTCCCTGGTTATCTTTTGCAATGCTTTTAACTTCCTTTGTCAGTGTGTTCTGATCCAGAGGAGCTCCCTCTGTGTCATGTATGCTCCATTTCCATGCTGGCATTTAGGCACTGTAGGAAAGGACCACACAGATCTGGCTTCAACCACAAGCACAGAGTGAGGAAGGTGCTTCAGGCTCCTCCTGCAGCCCACCTGTGCACATGGAAATAAAATGTACCTTGAACAGGAAAGCCAGGCTCATCTCTGTGGGTGTGTGAGAAGCAGAATGTGATCTGTTCTCTGGTCTCATTTCTGAGCTCCAGTTCTGGTTTTGCTCAACCTGTTTGCATGCCAGTGTGATTAGTGGTGTGTGGCCTGTGGGAAGACACGAACCTGGCTCCAGGTAGAGATTGCAGACTGTACCCCAGGAGAAAACTCCTTACCTGCAGCCACAAGAACAGCTGAAACGTGGAGGATTCCTGGGGGATCCCAGTTATTCACTAGAAGGAAGCAAGTCCATCACTGGGAATGGCCAGAGGTGAGTCTGAGTGAGTCTGAGTGTGCATGGATTGTGCAGCAGTGACAACAGATCCTGAGAGGTGGTGGGGAATAGGAATAGTGGTCCTGCAAATCTGGATCAGTGGTGATGGCATCTCCCTGGCAGCTTCCAGCTGCTTTCCAGGAGAGGCTCAGCATGGCTGTGGCATGTTATGGTCAACAGGCATGGAAAGGGTGAGAGGTGCCAGAGCTGGGGATTGGGGTGAAAGAATCTGGGCTTCAGCAGACCAGGCTAAACCAAACCACCTTCTCCTACTGCACAGGGGTCAGCCAGGAGGGGATTCACAGCTTCAGGTGGCAGCTCCCATCTCTAGGAACTGGGAAAAATACCAGAAGTTATGGAAAAGACACAAATTTTGGATGAGGATGGAAAGCTGAAGTGGTTCTGTTTGAGCTATTCATCCACTTCACTGTTCAGTGGCAGAATAGCTCCAGGGCTTGGGCAGGCAATTAACTAAAAATAGGCACCTGAGGGAGAATTCAGTCAGCCTGACTAACTGGGATTAGAGGATAAGCAAGAAGGTAGGGTGATGGGAAGCACATCTTTGAAGATTTATTTGTGGAAATTTTAATTGCAGACAGCAGAAAATGCCTCTGTGGGGTTGTTCTGTCCAGAGAGCAAAGATGGTGCAATGGTAGAGAAAGGAAAAGGGGATTTTTTCAGTGAACTGCAGGAAATCTTCCCAGCAGCTGCTGTTCACCTGTCAGCAAGGAAGGAATTAAAGAACAAAGAGCTGAGCTCAACAAAAGTACTGAAATCATCAATCTTCCAGAGGTGAAAAAAGGATTCCAGTTGAAGTGACACCATTTTTCAACACTGAGGCTAAAGAGCAGCAATGTTGTGAGACAGAGAACGGGCTCTGTCACAACATGGTGTGTGAGTATTCCATCATGTGAAATTCAGTGGAAGCAAATGCAAGATAACATGTTGTTCCTTCCTACAAATGGATTTTGAGTGAGGTGTAATCCCAGGGGGAAAAAAGATCTTCAGCCCTTCACAGGGTTCTGGCAATCTGAGCTTGGAAGGATGGGCAGGAGTTAAACCTCTGCTGTCAGGGAGTGGCTTGGCTCTTTGTTAGTTCTTATTTCCAGGGGGTCCTTGGCTTTCTGAGAATCCAGAGTCTGATTTGTAAGGGCTGGCAAGTTCATGTCCTGTCCTTTTATTAACTGGAGGTCTGTGGGTTTATACCTTAGCTGACTGCAGTGTTGCTACTGCTTTGGACCCTCCCCAAGCCAGCCAGTTTAAAACACCCCTTTATTTAATTAAACCCTCCTGAACAATTACATGCTGTACTTGCTGTCCCTGGGCTCTGGTGCATTCTTTGTGGTACAGGTGTGCCAGAAACAGAGGGATCACAGTGGAAAGGTTTCCTGGGCTCTGCCTGCCTGACTCACAGCCATGTCCTGGACCTGCAGCCCCAAACTTGTGGTCTAAAACAAAAACCAAACCCAAGCTCTTTCTGGGATGATTTTTTTATATCACATAACCAGCACAGTGGCTGCCACAAAGCCCTGCACACACACCACAGAACAGATTGCAGGCTGTGCTGCAGCAATCCCCTCACAGCATGCCAGAGTTACCCTTGTCCCTCACCTCCAGCTGCAGCAGCAGGAGCTTGGCTAAGATGAGTTCCACTGACTTGCCTAAGAGCTTGGTACATATGTCCTAGTGGACTGGGATTCCCAAGTGCTGTAAGCTTGGATGCTCCAGGTATTTTCTTATAAACAGGTAAAAGTTGTTCACTGTAATTTGTTCTGTGAATTTACTATTTCAAATGGAATTACTCTCATTAGTTTTAGACTGACTGGTAAAATACCTTGAGGTTACAAGCTGTTGTGGGAGAGGAACTTGGAATCCATTTTCCTGTGCAAACACCTGGAATCAGCTCCAGTGCTGTCTCTGACCACGCTGCCCTTGCTGGGTTTGATTTTCCTTGCATTGACAAAAGTTACTGCAGTTCTGCTTGTTAAAGTAGCTGTGGAAAGCAAATCACACGTGCAAATCATAGCAAAATGAATTCCATTTATTCTTTGACAGACTACTGGTAGGAAAAAGATGCCTGGCTCTAAGTTTAGCTACCACTGCTAAAGGAATTCCAGTGATGACATCTGTTCAGAGTACAATGCAGGCAGGAAGCAAAAAAGCTGAATGTTCTGCAGTGGGAGAAGGTGTGTGATGGCATTGCATAAATCTGATAATCCTCACTGCCAGTGAGTGATCAGTTCTGACCATTTATTTCTCAAAAAATAATAATCCTCTCAACTGAAGACAGGGATAAGGCTTGCATATAATTGATAACAGTGTGAAACTCTTTAATTTGCAAAGAGCAAAGCAAGAGAAGACAGGCCTGAGGTATTCAATGCTGGTAAACAGACTGGCTGCAATGCCCTGTTTACCTTTGCTAGGTTAGAGAACAAGAAGGCACTCGTTGGACTTGGAAAGGCAACATTTTCCAGTGGAGAAAAGGAAAAAGTACTGCATTCAACTCGGGGAGATCATTGCCACAGGATATTGCTGAGGTAAATAAATCTTATATTACATTTTGATACAAAAGTCTCAGTTGCAGCATTGCTGGCTAACCTAAAACAACCGATCTATGTTCTGGAGAATCAATGGATTGCTAAAGAGTCATTCTGGGAAGAATTACTAAGCTAAATTAAAAATAAAATTCTGGAGTAAAATGGAAGGGGGACAAGCCTGTGACCAAAAGAGGCACAGCTGATGTCACACAGTGGGATCATGGCTCAGCAGGAAGGAATCTGCATCAACTGAGGTGGATGTGCTCTGGGGAGACGGGGAGGACAGCATCTGGCTTCACCCAAGGAGCTGAGATAACAGAGTAGAGGTAGATTTTGCATTTCCTAGATTTATGGAGAACAATATTGACAGATTTCCTGGTTTATATTGGCCTACAATGGTTCCTCCATGCTGAGGTACGAAGATCTGCCCATCCATGGTCACAAACATGCACCAGTGCAGAGTGACCTCCGTATGTCCCCATCTGCAGTAGAAGTGCCCAGGAAAACAGGAGCAGGAGACAATACAGGTGCTAAGTGACACCAGCAGCTGGCTGCCTCTTCCCAGTACAACTCTCCTGCCCTGGTAGGTAGACAGCCCATGGAAGAGTTGAAGAGGTAGGGCAGGGAGCAAGGGAAGCAGGACTTTAACTTCAGGAGGCAAGGCTTGAGCAGGAGACAACAAAAAAGGCCAGTGGAACCAAATCCAAAGTGAAAACTTGACTGCAGGCCCCAAACCTCAGCATTTGTTAGAACTATTGGTGTTGGGAGAAATGCTTCAAATACACTGAAAGTGTATACATGAAGCTGGGACCAATGTTTCCCTGATTCTTGCATGTTATCACCATTGAGGTTAAAATACACCTTTGAGACTCCTTCCTGGACAAGCCAAAAAGGGTGCTGACTTCAATGAGTGGTTAAAAAAAGCCCAAACCCCAGAAACTCATACTCTGTTCCTCATCCCAAGGGAGGGTGTGGAGCAGGGCCTGCAGCCTGTTCTCACCCACGCCTGGTGTGCCAGTGCTCGATGGCCCGAGCTCCTCACCCAGCTCTCTGACGTGCTTTGGTTTCCAGATCTGTTTGCCTGGGGGAGAGATTTCAAAGGGCTCTGTCCATACACCACACACCAAGCTGAGCTGTGAGAGCTGCTCCATCCCCTTCACTCGGGATAGCCAGCCAGAAAAGGCAGGAAGCTGCTGCCTACAGGGGCAGAGGCTGAAGTGGTCCAAAAGCAGTGGATTTCCCCATGGGGGAAGAACATGATAAGTGAAGAGAAATCAGTGCAACCTGACTTCATTGTGTAAACAGTGTTCTAGCTACACCAGAGATGAACCCAGTGTATTCTGGTGCCTCCTATTTTTTGCAATGGCAGAAACAGATTTGTGTTGTGTAAACAATGTTCACCATAACCAGTTTATCCTAACAGCTCCAAAGAGGCGGCGTTGAATTCACTATGTAAACGGGCTTGTTGCTTAACACTGATGTGGAGTAAGCTGTGTTGGGTGATGGGATGAGAGGTAGCAGGGAAGGACAGCTCTTCCCCATTGGCTTCATACAGAGTGGTATCATGACTTCTTCTCCGTGTGGAGGTGTTGGCTGGTTTGCCAGAATTGCAGTGTGGTAACATGAAATGGAAGCTGGACTCTTCAAAAGTTTAGCCCAGGATGAAAGAGTCTCAGCTCCTTCTGAGGGACAGTCCCTTCCCAGAGAGGAATACAGCTCCAGCATTCTCAGGGAAGGTCAGTGCTAAGCGCGGCTCCTGATTCACAGATTAAAAATTAGATAAAATATATCCAGTCTATCAGCTGAAATCTTTCTGCTGTACAGGACTGGGACTTGCACGGGTTCCAGTCTACAAGTGCTCCCTCCGAGATCAGAAACCTCCTGTCTGACCCAGCTCTGCCAGAGCTTTCACACCCCCAAGGAAGGAAGAGTTGTGCGCTTTTAAGGCTCTCCACAAAAGGGTGACTGAAAGATCTGTTCTCCAGTGCTATTTCCAGCTTATTGGAACGCCTGGTGGAACCGTGGCAGCGTGGTTGTGCTCAGGCTGGAGGTGAAGACGGGGGGCAACGAGTGAAGGGGCCCAAAGTTCAGCGAGGCCCCGGCTCCAGGAGACTCTTGAGGTTGATGTTGCAAAGTGGTGAGCAGTGGCTGCGCCTCCCCCTGCGAGTAGCCCATGACCAATCCCCCCGACGAGACAGGTGGATTGCAAGGAGGAAGGTTTAGGGGAAGGAAGCCAAGAAGATGAGAAAAGTCCATGTTAGCAGCACAGAGAGCCTCTGAGAGGTTAGCAGGGCTCTTGGAAAGCAAAGCCTCATCCAGGGCAGGTGGCTGAGGCGAAGAGGACTGAGGATCACCAGATGAGAGAGACAGGCTGCCAGGGAAGTCTGACAAAAAGCTGTCCACCTCTACTTTGGGTAGTTTCTCAGGCAAATATGAGGTAGATCCAAGCTGATACTTTGGAGGAGGTTGCGGTGGGGAGGAGATGGGAGAAGAAGACTCCAGAGGATAGCTCATTCCCATTGGAAGAGAATTAGGGACCAAAGAATGGGGCATCCCTGAGCTTGGCATGGTTTGGAGATGTGTGCTGTACATGCCCACGGGCAGCATGCCAGGGAAGCTCTTACCACCCATCATGTCTCTGGATGCCATACACAGGACAGGACTCAGCTCTTCCTTCACTGCCACAGAGGAGCTGCAGCTGAGCAGACCCAACATGTCCACGGGCTCCGTCTTAATCTTCAGCAATTCCTGGGAGTGGCTTTTCTTCATGTGCCTGGTCAGGTGGTCTTTCCTCCCAAACCTCTGAGCACAGTACTGGCACAGGAAGTCCTTGCGCCCGGTGTGCACCACCAGGTGCCTGCGCACGTCCTTGCGGGTGTAGAAGCGCCGGTCGCAGTGGTCGCACGGGTGCTTCTTCTCCTTGGCCCCGCCGGACGCGCGCCTGGAATGGGCTTTGAGGTGCTCCAGCAGCACCTGGGTGCTCTCGAAGGTCTGCAGGCACACCTTGCAGCTGAGGTCACCGCTGGCAGCAGCGTGCATGGCCAGGTGGCGCCTGAAGCCCAGTTTGGTGTTGTAGTTCTTGCCGCACTCGGGACAGTGCAGGGCCTCCTTGTTGGGGTCGTGGGTCTGCAGGTGGTTCCGGAGGTGATCCTTCCTGTGGAACATCTTCTCGCAGTACATGCACTGGTGGGGCTTCTGAGCAGAGTGCGTGGCCATATGCCTTAGGGGAGAGAAGCAGCAAAGGTCAGACAAACATCCAGCCCCTGAGGGAACACAAGCTGGTTTTCCACAATTTTCCTTGTGTCCTACACTTCATGCCACAAAAATCCCAGATGGCATTTTACCTTCATTAAACAAGGAGCACAGGAGCACAATGCTTCAGGCAAAACCTGCAGTCTGTCCCAGCAGTTGTCTCTCCTCAGCTCCTGCTCTCTGCTGAGGCTGCCAAAGAAAACCTCCCTAGTCTGTGACACTAGGTGAGAAAACATCACTTCATCAGGAGGGTCAGGCTGTGCCCAAGTCTGCTGACAGCCACTGTGGTCTGATTTCACCTTGGTATCTCACACTGTCCCCCACTGTGGTTCACTTGGTTTCAAGTTCTCAGCCATCACTGTTCAACTATTTTGTCTTGTACTTCACTACATAAATGGGAACTCTACTTCTCCATACTGGAGCAACAGCTGCCACAGAATTATCCCTGTGGTTAGAAGCAGAATTTATGAATGCAAACGCTATTCTTGCATTTTGTTTTTTAATCTGCGAACTTCACTTTCTGTTTCTATTTCCTCCTCAGTGAAACATAAAGCAGCTTGAGCTCAGGATACAGCATTAGCTGAAGTTCTCTGGAAGGCACCTAAAGAGATGCCAAGTATGGTAATGTCTGGGACTCAACTGCTTTGCAAGGTAAAAGGGCATTTCCCCTCCTCCAGCTTCTCAGAAATTCAAGCAAAGACACCCGAGGGAGGGGGTTTCCCCTCTCTCCTGGCACTGCTGGGCAGAGGCACTTGCAGATACCTACCTGTAGAGCTTGTACTTGGAGGCAAAGGCCTTGCCACAGTGCAGCTGGGGGCAGTTGTAGGGCCTCTGCTCCGAGTGGGAAAGCGTGTGAGTTCTCAGCTTGTCCACGTGAGGGAAGGGGGGCTCTGATAGTTCACACTGGCATTTTCCCTGACTGTCGGTTTCTTCACCTCTTGGTCTGGGGACTAATTTCCAGCCTGTCTCTTCCTCCTCCTGCTTTGCATCTTGAATCCAGTTGGGAACACTGGGGAAAAATGCCGTCATGGCAGGGCTAGTAGAACATGGCCATGTCAAGCAGAACTCGAGCCTGTGGGCTGTGATGTTGTCCTGGTGCAGTTTTCTGTTGGAGCCCCCTGTGACCAAACTGCTTTAACAGCAGAACTTCTTCATCTGAAATCACAGAAGGCTGCTGTTAATTCACTGCCACCTTCACCTGTGTACACAATAAACATGTGGCAATGTTTGTTCCCAGTCATGGGGACCTCCAATAAATAATATTTTTCTGTCTCTTTCCCCTTAACCTGTTACCTGAATAAAACGATGTTAAACTTTTTTCTGAATTGCATTTTTTGCCACTATTAAGGGCCAGTATTACAGGCTGGATGTGTTTTCTTCTGAAATATCATAAAAGGTGTCTATTTGTAGCTCTAAATACCTCTATTTGTGTGTCTTGCAGATCACTTCTCATCCCATTTTTTTATATTCTCACTTGCTCTTGGTCTCTGCCTACAGGGAACTCCCTCTCAGAGATTCTCAGAGCTCTCTTGTATTTTCTTTTCCCATCCTTTCTGCTACCAACCTGGTGCACTGGGCAAAACCATCACCAGAACAAACCAATCTGAACCCCCAGATGTGGCTGAATGAGGCTGAGGAAGAAAGCTCTCAATTATCATCAACATCACACCTTTTTCTGGAAGGCAACGGATGCTGCTCCTCTTCAGGGTGGGATTACTCATTGTATTTTCACTTTTCGATTGTGAGGCAGATTCTGCCTCTCTGGATCAGCAAGTTTTCTACTGTAATGAGCAATTTTTAACTCTTTTTTTTTTCTTTGACACTCTCATGCATTAATAATGGAAGCTCAAACTGTTTCCTGTTCAAAAAAGTACACCTCCTGTAAACTCTTCTGGTTTTCACATTGATGAGGTTCTATATGAATCTCTCTTAGCAGCTGGAGATTCCTGAGTTGTGTGCTGGTTTTTACAGGGTTCTACTGCCAGCTCAACTGATAAACGGTCAGCTGAAATAAAACCAACCTCTTTCACTCAATTTGGCTGCCTGAGAAACCCTACTTAAAATAGCATCAAACCCTCACTCCATGATTGCTTCAGAGGAGGAACTTCCTGCTGCACATCAACATGAGTGCGAGTTGTGGGCAGGATGTGCAACTGCGAGGGAACAAACCAACCCCCAAGAAAGGGCTCAGGGAACGTTATGAAGAGCTGAAATGACAATTACTGTGACTGCACTGTCACCCGAAATACCATGGATGGTTCCCTCAGGGAGGAAAACACTGGGAAACAGGATGACTCCCAAGAAAATATATCACAGTGAGCTTTGGGAATGCCTGTTAAGAGCAAAACTTGGTTTTGTGCAGGCTAAATCTACGTGGTCAGAGCAGAACAATAAAGGACCAGAACTGCTGAGGTGCCACTTTGGCACAAACCAGCGTGGTGTGACAGCTGCTCTGACCCCTCAGGGTGCAGGAGGCCTGTGGTTCAGAGCAAGCTGTCTTACTAGGTGCTAAAAGCATGACTCTTTCACCTCTCTATGAAATATGTCCCACAAAAGATGAGTGCTCTCTACCTCTTGCTCCAGAGCTGTGCAGGTGTCCCGAGAGTCTCCACCACTTTCACCGGGGAACTGCTCCTTTCCCTCCGAAAAAGCCTGGCCATCTGGGCCAGTTTCAAAGCTACCTGGAAGAAGACAAGAGTTTGAATTTTGATGTTTTTAACAGTAAGGTGCATAAACAATCATACGGAATTTTAGGGAATTCAGAGGTGCTGCTGCAACCGCCTTGCAAACGGCGGAGGTGCCGGGGGGGTCGCCGCGAGGGGCAACTCGCTCCTCCCTCCGGCACCTCCGCTGTTTGCCTCGGGAGCCAGGCGGGAGACCCCCACCCGCGGGGACAGCGCAGCCCCGGTGGAGCGGGATCGCACATCCCACCCCCGCCCCGCAGCGCAGAGGGGAGGGAGGCGGGCCCGGCCTACGCCCCCCCCTCCGCCCCGCATCCTCCTCCTCCTCACACGCCCCCCTTTCCCCTGAGGGGACCCCGCCACCGAGGGGAGGGTACGGCCGTGCCACCGCCCCTCGCTGCGGTGCCGCCCCCCTCGCTCGCCCCCCCGCGCTCACCCCGTTCCCCCGGGCCCCGCCAAGCGCGGCTCCGCTCCCGGCCCCGGCGGCGCCATTGCGCGGGGCCTTGTGGGAGTGACGTCACGGCTCGGTGGCGGCCGCCAGAGCGCCGCGCCGCGGGGCATGCCGGGATGGTGGCGCCGGGCTCTGGCCGCCGTCGAGCCGCCATGGCGGAGCCGCCGGCCCCGCTGCTCCTCGTCCTCCTCCTGATGCTCCTCCCGGGGACGGCGGCGGGAGACGGCGAGGCACTCGCCTGGGATGAGGCCGGGTACCTGCTCTACTGTCCCTGCATGGGTGAGGCTCTCCCGGTGCAGACCCTCTGTGCATCTCCCCGTTGCATCCCCCGGTGCGGTTCCCGCTGCAGACGCCGGTGCTGCAGACCGCGGTTCATCCCCCGGCGCGGTCCGCGGTCCTTGCCTTGCTGCATCCCCGGTCCGTTCCCCGCTGCGTTCCCCGGTCCGTGCCCCGCCGCATTCCCCGCTCCGTGCCCCGCTGCATTCCCCGCTCCGTGCCCCGCTGTATGTCCCGCTCCGTTCCCCGCTCCGTGCCCCCGCTGGATCTCCCGCTCCGTGCCCCGCTGGATCTCCCGCTCCGTGCCCCGCTGCATCCCCCGGTCCGTTCCCCGCTGCATCCCCGCTCCGTGCCCGGTCCGTCCCGGCCGGCTGAGCCCCGTTTCCCGCAGGCCGTTTCGGTAACCAAGCCGAGCACTTCCTGGGAGCCCTGGCCTTCGCCCGCGCCCTCAACCGGACCCTGGCCGTGCCGCCCTGGATCGAGTACCGGCACCACCGCCCGCCCTACACCAACGTGAGCCCCGGCGGGAGGGAGGGGCGGCGGGCAGGGCTGGGATGAGCTGCGGGCCCGGTGAGGGGAGCCTCGGCTCACGGCTCTGCTCCCCCGCAGCTGCACGTCCCCTACTCGGAGCTCTTCGAGCTGGAGCCGCTGCGGCGCTACCACCGCGTGGTGAGCCTGGAGCGGTTCATGGAGCAGCTGGCGCCCCGGCACTGGCCCCCCGGCAGCAGGGTGGCTTATTGCTTCGAGGCTGCTGCCCAGAGAAGCGCGGATAAAAGCACGTGTCCCATGAAGGTGAGCTCCTCGTCAGCCCCGCGGGCACGGCTTAGTTCCGAAGGCTACGACTGACTCATTCAGGTCGCCATTGATTCGCAAATTTAGGAGTTACCCGCCGCAAATCGGTCTGTGTGGCATTGCTTTCACCACTTGTGGAATGGCATACTGTGCTATCATTAGTTTTCTTTGTCTACAAGTGCTTGGGGATCAGGGATACAGTCTGTGCAAGTAGATTTTATCACCTCAGATTTAATTGAGAATGTAGCTTATCTCCTGCTCTCTGTTTCCCAGCTGGTGTTAAAGCAACCTCTCTTAATTACAAGTTTGGGAGCTGTGGTGTGCTGGTTCTTTAAGACAACCTTTGCAACCTTCTCAGTAACTTCCCTGTATACTCTGGGTGGCAAAGATTGAAGCTAAATATATAAATGTATTTTGCTGTCTCTTTCCTGTGGAGCTGTTGTGTCAAAAAGGCTGTTGTATCCCAGCTGCTTCCATCCTGGAACAGGCTCCTGCTTTGCACCTCAGGATCTTTGCACATCCACCTTTGAAGCTCTGTGTGTGCACTAAATGAACACTCATCTTTTCTTTGCAGGATGGAAATCCGTTTGGTCCCTTCTGGGATCAGTTCCAAGTGGATTTTGATAAGTCTGAGCTCTTCAAGGGGATTTCCTTCAGTCCTGCATACAAGGACCATTGGATCCAAAGGTAGCAAGAAGATGCAAGAGTGCTGGCAGGTCACTGTGGGCATTTAGAGTCACTCATGAAAGCAGCTGTGACTGTGTATTGTGACTTTACATTTTGGGGGAGAGATTGAAGTGGTTAATTAGTAATATAGTTAAAAATATTAATGCTTTTTCCTTTAAATGTTTGCTAAGCACTTCTTGTGGGCATTATTTTAGGTATGAACTCTGTTAGGCTGATTGACTTCTGAGCCAGGAATATTTAATTTATCAAGTATTTATTAAATATGTAATTAATCATCAAAAGGAATTTGGTTCTCACTTGGGGATTATGAACTGTATTTGTGTTATCAGAGACATGAGTGACTTTAGGTAACAGAATTGATCTAGTTTGGGATGAAAATGTAACATCCCATTGCTTGGTAGCTCCTCACTGCACATTTGAGGCTCTTCTCTTATTGTCTATCAGATAAAAGGTCTGAGACAAAATACAGCCCCTGAGATTTTTTCAGTTCAAATGGCAAACCAGCTAAAATTATCTCAATTTGGAGCAATAAATGCTGCATATTTTGGGGATGTTCCTTGTTTCTTCTCTAACCTTCTTAGTGGCCTTCGTGCAGGTTAGATCACGTTTCAGCCTGCTGTGTTTGGTTTTCTGTAGGTTTCCAGCCTCTGAGCACCCTGTTCTTGCCTTACCTGGAGCTCCAGCCCAGTTCCCTGTGCTGGAGGAGCACCGGCCCCTGCAGAAGTACATGGAGTGGTCGGATGCAATGGTGGAGAAGGGGGAATCCTACATCCAGTCCCTGCTGCTCCGGCCCTACGTGGGAATCCACCTAAGGATCGGCTCCGACTGGGTACGGCACAGTGGGGTGTGGGCAAAGCTGCTCAAAAAGGAGCTGTGCTGGGAGAGCACCTGATCCCTGCTGCCATCCAGGAGCTCCCTGTGTGTCAGCAGTGGTGCTGGGGTTCTTTCAGACAGGCAGAGGTGGGGGATGTGGTGGTGCTTTCTCATTTGAGTGTGGTATGAAAAAGTTTGTGGTGAGGTGGGGTTCAGCCTCTCCTCCTAGCGACAGGACAAAGGGAAATGACCTCAGGTTGCCCCAGGGGAGGTTCAGGTTGAATATTAGGAGAAAATTCTTCATTGAACTGAGTGATTGAGCACTGGCCCAGCCTGCCCAGGGCCATGGTGGAATTGCCGTTCATGGAAATGTCCAGAACACAATTAGAGGTGGTGCTTTCTGATAAGGTTCAGTGGGCGTGGGGCATCTGTTCAAAGTTTGGACTTGATAATCTCAGAGATCTTCAGCTTTGATGATTCTTTGATTCTCTCTTCCTCTTCCAATAGAAAAATGCCTGCAACATGTTGAAGGATGGGACAGCTGGACCACACTTCATGGCTTCACCGCAGTGCGTGGGCTACGACCGCAGTGCTGCCGTGCCTCTCACCATGGACATGTGCCTGCCAGACCTCCGAGAGATCAAACGGGCTCTCAAGCTCTGGGTGGCAAAGATTGAAGCTAAATCTGTTTATATTGCTACTGATTCTGAGCCCTACACAACAGAAATACAGCAGTTCTTCCAGGGAAAGGTGAGTGTTCCAGAAATATCTTCTAGCAGGAGTGCTTGGGTAAAAACCTTCCTTGGCTTCTGGCCCGAGGCTGTCATGGATAGCAGACAGGCCGTTGTGGAATAGGGTATTCACAGCCAAATATTGGCATCTCAAAGTGAATTTGGCTCATAGCAATAAAAATTATCCTGTAAAATTCTTTTTTTTTTCCGGGAGATTGAAGAGCATTGTCTGGCATGGTAGTAAATATTTCTATGAAAAGGGTTTAAATTAAATAAACCTAAGTGATTTTCAGAAATGCTCTGACATTGATCTAATCATAAATGAGTTATAGGGCAGAGAAAGACAAAACTCACTCTCTTTCTGTTGTGTATTCAATTTCTAACATTATGCCAAGACATTGGATTGTGATAATAGCTGACTGGATTCATCTGCTCTCCACGTTTCTCTGCAGCTCAAGGTTGTCAGCTTGCAGCCAGAAGTGCCTCAGATTGATCTGTACATCCTTGGCCAGTCCGACCACTTCATTGGGAACTGTGTCTCTTCCTTCACTGCCTTTGTGAAGAGAGAACGTGACATCCATGGGAAACCCTCCTCGTTTTTTGGCATGGACCACCCTCCGAGGCTGCTGCGGGATGAGTTCTGACCAGAGGAGGAGGAGGAGGAGCTCCCTGGTGCCAGGGCTCTGAGCTGGGCCCTTGGTGCTGCAGCATTCCCTGTGGGCAGTCACTGCTGGGCTGTGAGAGAGCTCCTGCCCTCCAATGCTCCTCACAGCCCCTTCCAGACTGTTCTGTCTGATCTCTCCTGTGTTTCCAGTGTGAGCTCAGATGGGAATTTAAATCATGTGGTTTATAGGAAACTATAAACTATGTATAGTTTTTTAAGAGGTAGCTTTTATAGTTCTCAATTCTCACTACTTGGGATTCACCAGCAATCATGATGAAGCAGCTGCTCAGATTTCCTCCTCTTTTCTTTCTCTGTTAATTCTTAGCTCTCACCTGGAGGTGTTTTGAAGCTCCGTGTCCAAAACTGACCATAATTGGCTCTTTTTAAGTATAAAACTTCTGTCAGGCACATCAGGTTCCCTGGAAAGGGCGTGCAAGGTGAAGCTCAGGACTGAAAAAGCTCTGGGGTTTATCAAGGACCGCAGTTGTCTTACCAGACCTGTGTCACCACAGTGCCTCAGTGTCCCTTCTCCTGTCCAAAGAGGTTCCATACTCTGTGCTGTGGGGCCCTGAATCTCTTTGGTGGTGCTGGAGGAGTGCAGTGGGACGTGGTGTGACGTGGCAGCTGCCTGTTCAGCCTCTGCATCAGCCTGGGGCAAGGTGTGTGCAGGACATGGGAGGAGATCTGTCACAGCCAGGCCAGGACTGGAGGTTCAGGGCTCGTAGCTTTGTAGCTGTTGATGTCAGTGAGGTCTGTGGTAGAAGAGAAACTTTGAGCCAAGGTTATTGAAGTAGCTGTAGTGGGGTTAGGTATGTCGTGGGTCTATGGTATTGTTTTGTTTTTGTACTATAAGATAACCCCTCTGAGAGCATTACCCTTGTCTGGGGCAGTTCCCAGTGGAGTTAACTCTGGAAAATTATTCATTGATGGGGAAGCAACAGCCCAAACCCCTCTGTTTGGCCTGGTGTGGTTTGATGCTGGTAAACTAAAAATTCCAATATGGTGAGACATAACTTGACCCATGCCTTCTGGTGCTTCTGTGACTTTATTTTCTGGTCCAAAGACTGAGTACAGAACGGTTCATTTTTTGGAAATGCCTCTTGGGTGAGTCTGTGGTACCAGAGCTGCTGCCTCCAGTGCACTGCTGCAGTCCTGGCAAGGCTGTTACGAGCAGTTAACTCCAGATGTCTCTCTTTATGGTGGTCTTCTCCTCCTTGAAATGTTTCTGAGCTTTGAAGGAGTTAAAGGGCTCAGGGGAGTGAGCAAAAGTGGGCAAAATGAGAAGATTCCCTAGGTGTCAGGGTGGCTAAAACTCATCTCTTGTTTCCTCAGGGCTGGCTTCAAAAATCATGGGATTTGGGGGAAAATTACCTGTTTTAGGGCCTTTGGAAGCTGGACTTTTGAAGATTGAACCTCCTTGTGTCATACAGTTTACTGATCTTGGGCAATTCCCTTGGGGCTGCCTTGCCTTGCGGTGGAGCTGGAGAAGCCTTTCCCCACACTGTTGGGAAGAGAAAGTATTAAAACCAAATGTTGGAGTGGGGTGTTTCTTTTCTGTTTTTTTTTTAAATAAGGTATTTTTTGTACTAATAAAAACTTGATTTTGTATTCACTCGTAGTGCACCAACATTCCTTCCTCCATTGCAGGAATCTCTGGTACCCCAGCTGCAGCCTGCTGTGCAACGCTGCGATCCAGAAAGCTCTGATTAAGGAGTTTTAACTCTTAAACATCTTCTTTACGATGGCCTTTTTCTCCTTGGAAATACTTCCGAGCTTTGCAGGGTTTAAAAAACCCCAGCCTGGTTGCGGCAGAGACCTGCCCAGCTGGGGCAATCCCGGCATTTTCGGGATTGGCATTTTCGGGATTGGTTTAGTGCGGGATGCCCGCGGTGGGGCCCCTTTGTCCGGGCTGGAGCAATCCCGGCATTTTCAGGATTGGCATTTTCGGAATTGGCATTTTCGAGATTGGCAATGCGCGGGATGCCCGCGGCGAGGCCACTTTGTCCGGGCTGGGGCAATCCCGGTATTTTCGGGATTGGCATTTTCGGGATTACCGGCGTGCGGGATGCCCGCGGCGGGACCCCTTTGTCCCGACTGGGGCAATCCCGGCATTTTCGGGGTTGGCGAAGTGCGGGATGCCCACGGCGGGGCTCCTTTGTCCGGGCTGGGGCAATCCCGGTATTTGCGGGATTGGCGGTGTGCGGGATGCCCGCGGCGGGGCCGCTTTGCCCAGGCTGGGGCAATCCCGGCATTTTCGGGATTGGCGGCGGGGCCGCTTTGTCCGGGCCGGGCCGGGCCGGGCGGCGCGGGGCGGGGCGGGGCGGGGCGGGGCGGGCGCGCCGTTGCCAGGGAAGCGCGTCACGGGCGGGCGGAGCGGCCGCGCCGCTTCCGGGGCCGCGGGAGGAGCGCCCGGGCGGCTCCATGGTGACGGCGCAGGTGAGTCCGGCCCGGCCCCGCACCGCGCCCGCACCCCGCCCCGAGCATCCCCGACCCCTCCGGGCTGGCACACCGCGGGCCGCTGCCAGCCCGGTGTCCCCGGTGCTCCCGGTGCCAGCCGCGGGCACGGCCGGGGCAGCGGGCGCGGGAGGCGGCGGGACCCGCCCGCGGCCGGGCTGCGGGGGCGATGCCGCGGGCGGGTGGCCCCGTTCGGGTGGGTGTCCCTCGCTCCCGGTGCTTCTCCGCCGTGGTCCTTCCCCCGCTCCCCGCTGTCCCCAAATCCCCTCCCTGCAGCGCCCGGTGCCGCAGCCGCGAGGGCGGTGGGTGATGCTCGGGTGAATCCGCGGCTCTCCGGGGGAGGGAGCACCGGCGGGGTGCCGTGCTGAGGCGACAGCGGTGGCAGGTGACCACAGGTGACCCCAGACGCCGAGTGGAACCAGGGCTCGCAGGTGGCACCGCCGGGCCAGCTCCAGCACCGGGATGTCCTGCCCGGCCTGCGGAGCGTTCGGCAGGGAGAGGAGAGGAAAACAGCAGCGCCGAGGGTGGCTTGGCTTGGGAGGGAGGGAAGGACACAATTCAACCGTGACATTATGAAACCACAAATATTTGAAAGATTTGAATGGCGAGAAGCAATGGAATGTTTTGAGTGGTACCTCGGGATGTGCGGAGATGCAAGGGAAGGGTTTGGGCAGTTCCAAGAAAATCTTTCAGAGATGTTTAAGGCAGGAGGCAGAGCGGCTTCGGGATGTCACCTGTCAGGACAGGTGGCATGGGTGGGCACAGCTGTCCAGGACAGCGCCTCCCAATCCTGCAAGTTTCTGAGGAAAAGTGGTTGCCCCAGCTTGTATTCATTGTGGCATTGCTCATTTTTTCAGGCATAAACTTTCTGTTGAGTGAAATGAATAAAAAATGCTTCAGTTTCTGCCCATCTTCCCTTATTGGTCACCAGGGTACATTTGCAAGTGCATCCATCTCAACCTTGACCTTGACCTTGACTTGCAGGGACCTGGCCCAGGTCACTTTTGGCTGAACTAATTTAATGAAAAAATTCCCATCTTTGATGGAGAAGAGTGGGTGGCACGGCAGCATTCCCAGCTTTCTGGCCATTCATGTCCAGCCACTCTGGCAGTTCAAACATTGCCCAGGAGTTTCTGGGGAATACAAACACTGCCAGCTAATTGGTTTTATTTTCCAGTTACACACTTGGGTAAATCTGAGAAGAACCATAATTTGTTATGCTTCCAGTAAACTTCACCACAGTAGCTAAAATAATTGGAGATGATTCAGGATGGGTTGTTATGAAAATAGCCCACATCAGGGGTAAAATCAGATGTTTGTGACTATAAAAAGAGACTTGCAAGTGAAGTGGGGAAAGGTGTCAAAAGCTGATAGTGAGGAGGTACACCCAGAGGAGCAGCAAATGTGCAAAATAATTTTTGTTCAAGGTGTAACTCTGGCAAGACTAACTTAACTCTGATCTTTTAATATTTGTCATAGTTGCTTACAAAAGCGGCACTTCTCATCGGAATAGTATTTTAGATATTCAATATATAAAATGAATCCATGCTCTCCTTGTCAGAACTTGTGCCTGGTTTGAGTATTTGCCAGTGTGAACATGCAGATACGTGACACAGTGGTTGTCATGTGACCTTGTCAGAAAATTGTCTCTTGTGAACTTGAATTACTGGAATGTCTCTCGGAGCTGTGCAAGGGGAAGCGTGTGTTAATGTATACAAGTCCTCAGGATGAACAGAGGGAGAGTTGTTCTTTGTGATTCTGCCAAGATTTGTCCTCGTTTCACTTATTCTTTCTGTGTTTGTGCTCCAGAATTTGTGTTTGCTGTGGGTCAGAAAGGAAGGTCACCTTTATCTGGAGCTGTCAATTAGGAGGGAAATGGTTTTATTCAGTAGGTACCCAAAATTGCTGTAACAGTTTGAACTCACTGTGCAGGGTGAATTGTGAATGAGTGTCCAGTTCAGTGCTTTTATGGGAAGAGTGAGAAGCAAAGAGTTTCCCCTCACAGACCCAAGGAAATTCCCGAGGCCATACTGGGGTTTCTGTGCAATTCTGAACCACGTTTATCTGTTACTTCTCTTTTACTTTTTGCCAGTCTGACTGTCTGTATATTGGGCTGGAATTGTGCTTCCTTTTCCATCCAGTAGCTCTGGCCCTGCAGTTCTCTGCCACCTTGTTGGAGAAGCTCTCCTGAGACGTGCAATTATCAAGGGAAAAACAATTAGACAAAAATCCCTGTTTCCTGCTGATCTGGCTGGGAAGAGAGCAATGAACACATCTCAAGGAAGCCACACCTGAACCTGTGCCAGCACTGCCTGGGCTTCCCTGTGTGTATTAGTTTTACACTTAGTTCTAGTTGGCAGAGGGACCTCAGGGCTCTTCTTGGAAGATATTGTGGAAATAAAAAGGGTTATTAGAAATTGCATGGCATTCCCCAAGTTGTGCCATTGAGATCTGCCGTGTGAGGCTTTAGCAGTGACTGCTTTAGCAGTTTAGTAGCACAGGCTTCTTGCTCCATTTTCAATGGCAGCCCATCTTGCTGATGTCTGGAGGATGCACCAGTGTGTCCTCCCTCTCTACCCAGAGTCATGAACGAGTTGGATCTGTGATCTAGGTTTATACAACTTGAGTTTAGGTTGATGGTGAGTCCTGTAGACCTGATGCAATTGGAACACCAGAGCAGGAGTGATGGCAGTAGGTCAGTGTAGCTGAGCAGGGCTGGCTTTTGTGGGGAATCCTGATAAAAGTCTATTGCCAAAAGAAAAGATAATAGCAGACTTGTGCTCCAGAGAGAGCAAGGCTGTGCTAGATTTTCAAAATGGGAGATTTAAAACAAAAAGCCTGACTGTAAAGAAAATGATTGGCAAAGTATTATTTTCATAAATAGTTTAAAAAGGTTTATTATAATTTTTAAGGGTCAAGAAAAGGATCTTTACCAGGTGTGAAGGTGTGATCTGTGGTGATGAGTTTTTGCAGCAGAGCTTGTAAAAATGATACCATTTGATGCACAGGCTTTGGTAAAGTAATTCTGTCTCAGTTCAGGCCTTTACAAGGTTTTCATGTTGCACATTATTTTAGTGCTTCAAAATCCCTTGCAACTTAATGAAATCAAAATGCTGCTCAAATTGATGAGGCGAGCCTTTGGCTTTGTGAAAAGCTGTCCCCTGCCGAAAACCGCCTTCAGACATCCCTGCTTTGTTTTTGTTGCAGGTGTGTAGCAGGGCATCATCCATCAGCAGGATCAGAGCAGGCCCAGCCCCGCCGTCATGTCCAAGGCAAAGAACTCCGAGTCCGTGCGGGTGGTCGTGCGCTGCCGGCCCATGAACAGCAGGGAGCAAACGGCTTCCTACGAGAAGGTTGTCAATGTGGATGTCAAGTTAGGGCAGGTCTCAGTGAAGAACCCACGGGGATCATCTCATGAACTGCCTAAAACCTTCACCTTCGATGCTGTGTATGACTGGAATTCCAAACAGGTCGAGCTCTACGATGAGACCTTCAGACCTCTGGTGGACTCTGTTCTGCAAGGGTTTAATGGGACAATCTTTGCCTATGGGCAGACTGGGACAGGGAAAACGTACACGATGGAAGGGGTGCGTGGTGATCCCGAGAAGAGAGGGGTCATCCCCAATTCATTCGAGCACATCTTTACCCACATCTCTAGATCTCAAAATCAGCAATACTTAGTTAGAGCGTCTTATTTGGAAATATACCAAGAAGAAATCAGAGACTTGTTATCAAAGGATCAGTCCAAGCGGCTGGAGTTGAAGGAGAGACCAGACACGGGGGTTTTTGTTAAGGATTTGACCACCATTGTCACGAAAAGCGTCAAAGAGATAGAGCACATCATGAATTTGGGAAACCAGAACCGCTCAGTCGGCGCCACCAACATGAACGAGCACAGCTCTCGGTCTCACGCCATCTTCCAGATCACGATCGAGTGCAGCGAGCTGGGGCTGGATGGAGAGAACCACATCCGTGTGGGGAAGCTCAACCTGGTGGACCTGGCGGGCAGCGAGCGGCAGGCAAAGACTGGAGCACAGGGGGAAAGGCTGAAGGAAGCCACTAAAATCAACCTGTCCCTCTCAGCTTTGGGCAACGTTATCTCTGCCCTGGTGGATGGCAAAAGCACGCACATTCCCTACCGGGACTCCAAGCTGACCAGGCTGCTTCAGGACTCTTTAGGTGGCAATGCCAAAACTGTGATGGTGGCCAATATAGGCCCTGCCTCTTACAATGTAGAGGAGACCCTGACCACACTGAGATATGCCAACCGTGCCAAAAACATCAAGAACAAGCCGCAGGTGAACGAGGATCCAAAGGAGGCTCTGCTGCGGGAATTCCAGGAAGAGATTGCTCGACTCAAGGCTCAGCTGGAAAAACGGTCCATTGGCAAAAGAAAGAGGAGGGAAAGGAGGAGGGAGGGTGGGGAAGAGGAGGAGGACACTGAAGAGGGTGAGGATGAAGGAGATGACAAAGATGACTATTGGAGGGAGCAACAAGAAAAGCTGGAGATTGAGAAGAAAGCTATAGTCGAGGATCACAGCTTGGTAGCAGAAGAAAAGATGAGGCTGCTGAAAGAGAAGGAGAAGAAAATGGAGGACCTGAAGCGAGAGAAAGAAGCAACAGAGATGCTGAGTGCTAAAATCAAGGTAGAATTCTTCCTGGTCATACCCTTTGAAATTTCCTTAGGCTGTGGGGAAAATAAAGGGTTTCCCAATTTGGAAAGATATTTCACAGAAAGTTTCCAGGATAGTGATTTGTGTTTGGGTTGGAAGATTTTAAAAGAAACCATTTCTAGCCAGAAGTTGAAATTTCCACCATTAATCACATATTTCAATATTCATGAGCTGTTTCATTGTTCTTCTGTACTGATCTTAAGCGATTGGCACACTAAAAAACAATGCATCTTTTCACAAGCTGTGGCACTAAAAATGTTTCCTTCTGTCACAGATCATTAGAAATTATTTACAAGGGAGCACACATTTTGGTTCTCCAGCTTTGCCACACATTTCAGTGATGCCTTATTCTAAACAAGTTACTGTTGCATTAATCCCACAGTTTAATAGGAATTTTAAGAAACAGTGATTCCTGTAGCAGCTGCCTTGAAAGAGAAGGTTAAATAAGGGAGCTGCCCTGAAGTTGTATCCATCGGAGAGAAAGTTACCCTCTGTAGTCACTGAGAGAAACTTCTGACCCTGGTTTTTCTTTTCAGACAATGGAAAGCAAGCTGCTGGTGGGAGGGAAAAATATTGTGGATCACACAAATGAACAGCAGAAAATCCTGGAACAGAAACGACAGGAAATTGCAGAACAGGTACAAGGAAGGGGATTTGTTATTTTGTATAAAAAACCATGCTGCTGAACTTTTGTAAAACATTGTGTCAGGGAAATTACCAGAAAGTTTTCCCAGGGTTAACCCTAGAATTGGTTTAATGGCAATAATTTATTGAAAAGAAGGGGAAAGGGCTTGTGTCATATTTGTCATTATTTGAAATATGTAATGAGGGTTTATAAAAGTTTTCTTCTAGCTCTTCATGGTAAATATTTACCTCCTATCTTGATTGGAGCTGTTTGTAAGTGAAGAAATATGTGTAAGACTTCTAAAAGTACCAGTTCAGCCGTTAGCTCAAGGGAGGAGTCTTTACTCTGTGCTAAAAGTTTATTTTCTGTTAATGCAAATTTTGTTGGTGATTCTTAAATACAATAACAAGTACAAACTGATAAAAGGGAAAGAAAAAATAATCTAAAAGTGACATTTGATTCCTTTAGTTGAAGCTTGAGCCTTGTTCACACTCCCTGATCTTAATAGCAAAATAAGGACAAATAAGATGTTTCTGGTATTTCTGTGGCAAGAGGTATGAAGAACTGGAGGGTAGGGAAGGAAACCCAACCTGAGCCTTGGTTTCATGTGTGTCAGCTGGAGTTGACAAGGTAATTGAGGTCTTTAATGCCATATTTTCACATTCTTCAGAAACGTCGGGAGCGAGAAATCCAGCAACAGATGGAGAGTCAGGATGAGGAGACACTCGAGCTGAAGGAGACCTACAGTTCTCTTCAGCAAGAGGTGGACATAAAGACCAAAAAACTCAAAAAGGTAAAAAGAAAATGATTCCCTGTCTACCAGGCTGGGAATAAAATCAACTTGTGTGTGAAAGTGAGAGGAGCTTTGGCAAGTGATGGATTTTGGCTCTTGTTGTGTGCTCCAGTTATTTTCCAAGCTGCAAGCTGTGAAGGCAGAGATCCATGATCTCCAAGAAGAGCACATCAAGGGGCGCCAGGAAATGGAACAGACCCAGAATGAACTCACCAGGGAACTAAAGCTAAAGTAAGCCACATCACTTAAATAAGCTATTAAATGTAACAGAGAGGGTTTCTTGGGGCAGGGAGTGGAGGGACTGCCTTGCACATACTTGTGGAATTAGATTTAACCATGAGAAAATGAAACCATTCCTCCTTTTCCAGGGTTTTATTACATCAGTGGGAGAGGAGCAGGGAGGAAAGTCATTGCTAATTATGTTTCTTGTATATTTCTCATTTTTGTGGTTGCATGTAGGCACCTGATTATTGAAAACTTTATTCCCTTGGAAGAAAAGAATAAGATCATGAACAGAGCATTCCTTGATGAAGAGGAAGACAACTGGAAACTACATCCCATAACCCGTCTGGAGTGAGTGTATTTCTGCTCTTGGGATGGAATTACAGGTCACAGGAAACCCTCTAGCTGTCAAGAACAAAAGGGGGATTGAACTGGAGATTTAAACTGACCCTCTAGAGTTCACACCTTCTTGATGTGTAATAAAATAAAATAAAACAAATTTATTCCTCTTAATAGGTACTATAAAATACGAATGTATAGTTAGGGGAATTCTTGAGAGATTATGATTTTTCTAATAGGCAAACACAATAATTATATGTAAAATACATGTAATAGTGCATTCACCCTTAAAGTAGCAGTGCATTCCTATCATATTTCTTTCCTGCTCCTACAAATGCAGCCTGGGTGGTTTCTGCTGTGTTGAAACAGATTTCTGCATGGAATTTGCAGATGTTGTAGCTCATAAACTACAGCAGGAGTTGTAGCTCATAAACTCCAAGGGGAGCTTTTGGTTTTAGGGTATAACAGCCTGAGTCTGTTTTTCTCTAGTAACCAGCAGATGATGAAAAGACCAGTATCTGCTGTGGGGTACAAGAGGCCCCTGAGCCAGCACGCCAGGACGTCCATGCTGAATCACACAGCTGCTCGGTACAGGGTAAGCCCAGATGTGGTTGAACCTTTGCCTCTTCACCCTGTGATCAGGGCAATGTGAATTCCAGAGGGGATTGGGTGTTCTTCTTTGAGATGTAAATTTGTAATGCCCGGCACACATTTATAAAGTACCTCAGATTAAGTTTCTGGAGGGCAAAGTAACAGTTTGTGTGAAAACATGGAGACTTTGATTCTGCTTTTCTCCTCTCAACTTCTTCAGATTAAGTTTCTGGTGGGCAAAGTAACAGTTTGTATGAAAACATGGAGATTTTGATTCTGCTTTTCCCCTCTCAGGCAGAGAACATCGTGTTACTGGAACTGGATGCGCCCAGCCGGACAACAAGGAATTATGAAGGTCCAGCCATTGCTCCTAAGGTTCAGGCAGCTCTGGAAGCAGCTCTGCAGGATGAAGATGAGATTCAAGTGGATGCCTCGACCTTTGAGAGCTCTTCAAATAAAAAATCAAAACCCAGGTGAGTTGGGCTTTCCCTGAGCAGACTGGCCCACAGGAAAGGTGCAAGTCAGTCAGCATTTCTCATCAGTGAAGTGAAGCTGAGCTTCATAGTAAAGCAGAGAGAAAAAGGAACATAGAATCATTAAGGTTAGAAAAGACTTTTAAGATTTGAGTCTAACCTCCAGCTGAATCCCCACCATGCTACTAAACCTTATTTTGAAGTGCCACATCTACTCATCTTTTGAGCACTACAGGGGATGGAGATTCCAGCCCTGCCCTGAGCAGCCTGTGCCAGGGCTCAAGCACTCTTGTAGTGAAGAGATTTTTCCTCATATCCAGCCTCAACCTCCCTTTGTAGAACTTGAAGCTGTTTCACCTTGGCTTGTCACTTGCTACTTGGGAGAAGAGGCCAACCCCCACCTTGCCACAACCTTCTTTCAGGGTGTAGGACACAGGGCGGAAGAAAAAGTTGAAACTGTTTATTAGAGAATAACTCCAGTTTAAAAAAATCAGCTTTTTGCAGATTAATTTTGGAAAGGCAGGTGACGTTGTTAGAAGTTTTCTTGTTTATATTTTCATTTTTGCTTCTTCAGACCGAAAACTGGAAGGAAATCAGTGGGATCTGCATCAGGATCAGGCACCCCCACTTCTCAGCTCTACCCACAGTCACGAGGGCTGGTTCCAAAATAAAGCCAGCAACTCCTCTCCAGGGAGGGAACAGCCTTTACCTTCTGGGAGCAGAGACAAGGACAAACCTGCAGAGAGAGCTCCTGGCCAGCCTCCAGCCCCTTTCCCTGGAGGTGGCCTTGTTGCTGTTTAACTGACTCGGGCCAGTCCAGGGGCACTGAGCCATGGGAAGATCCGTGCTTGCAATTCAGCATTTGGCCTCTGTGGGAAATGGATTTTAGTTAGGAAATCAAAAATGCATGAGGTACGTTACAGTGTGTTAGGAGCAATGGGAAGCATGGGGATCACCTCACAGCATCACCGTCCTCCTCCTGCACCAGCCCTTCTGCTGCACGGCGCTTTTTGGCTCTTGGGCACTGAGAAGACAGAGGTGAAAGTCATCTCCACAGAACCACCACTCTGCAGCTCCACAGTGAGAGCCACAAGAGGCTACAAAGCAGAGGATCTGTTCAAACTCGACAAGGTGCATGGTTCTTCCTCTTCCTGCTTGAGAGACTGGCATCACGACCTGGGGTTCAGGCAGGATGGCAGTGGCCAGCATGTCCTCACCACCACACAGCTGTGCCTCCCCACAGGGCTGTAGGACAGAAAAGGGCCTCAAAAACACCTCTGTGGTCTCTAGAAAGGAAGCAGTAGAATCTGAAGTCCTTTCTTTGTTTACAGAGCTCCTCTAAGCTGACCTACAGACCTCACCCCTACCAACAGGAAGCACCTTGTCAAGGAACACCTCTGCATGCCATGTCAGCTCCACAGCTTCCCTCCTCTCTCTTGCCTCCATCTTTACCCCGGCATTTAAAACCAGTGTCCATATGACATCTTTAATGGCTTATGGCCATATTCTCATGCCTCCCACTGTTGATGGAAAACGTAGCACTAGCTCAGAGCTCTCCCTGCCAGGCTCAGACTCTCAGCTGGGCAGAGCACTGGAACTTGGAGCTGCCTTTGAGTGCACTCCTGGGAGTTTGGTCCCTTCTCTGGGTGTCTAAGGAGGTTTAGCATTCAGTGCCTCTCGTGCCTCACCTGTTCCATGTTAAGCAGCTTTCTCTCTGCACCTCCCAGCCCACTCAGAGCCTGCTGGGAGTGAACCTGACCTGAGGCTGGTGATGGAAGCTGGTGTTAATTCCAGGGGTTTTACTTTGAAAACAAGGGAGGGAGAACTCCTGCTTTTGACAGTCTCATTGCAAAGCTGCCCTATGACTAAAGCAGGCTCGTGTAGCAGGGTAGAGGGAGGTGGAACTCTACACTAAGGACAGAGTAAGGTGTCCCTGTCTAGTGTCCCACAGCTCATTTGTAAGTTTTAGTTCACTGTATATTGAGACTTGGGATGTTACTTTTTCTGGTTGCTCTTGGCTGTCATGCTGTGAACATTTTTACCTGTTTTCCCTCACTGATGACTCCCTCCAGACTGACACGTGTGAGTGTGTGAGGACTTGCCTGGCTGCAGACATGCTCTGATGTGTGGACTCTGCCTTGTGTTCCTTAAGTGTCCACGGAGTGACTTCATCCAGGCTTGAGAGCTCCTTTCTACTGAGCAGGAGGAACTGAGTGCTCAGCACAGCTCACCTGTGCATCCTGCAGGCACGGTGCCCAGGTGAGCCAGGTGGGCCCCCTGAACACCAGCTTGGCTGCTGCATTCCATGGACTGCTTTCCTGGGCCACAAGGTTAATATCTGTGTACACATGTATGCACACGTACATGTATATAATAGTTTTGGTGGAGGAGGGAGGGATTTGCTTATAACTGAGAGAACAGGCACATGACCAATTTCTTTCAACCTGAACATGGAAACCCAGCATAATCTTCATTTTCACCAGGCACTGTTTATATCCAGAGAGCCTTTTAACTGGCTTTTGTTGCATAGTATAACATCACCTTCTCTTCCCTCTCTTCCTTCTTTCTTTCCAGCACATAATCTTCTGTACCAGGACATTTTAAAAGATGATTGTATGGTTTAAGTGCTCAGAGAATTGAAATTAAATGTGGGGGGGAGGTTTAAAACCCTAAAACAGCAGCACAATATATAACCACGTGTATGTACATACCTATGTACACATGTTTTATGTGAATAATACATACACAGACACATCTGTGTCTGCACATGTGCACATTTTTCCTCAGTTGCTACTATCCCATAGGGAATTCTATTGTATATTAAACTCATATGCTGGAAACTGCCTTCGTGGCAGGGCTGGTACCATGGAGCTCTGCAGTGCAAACCTGTTTTCATGTTGATGAGCCAGTGTCAGAAAGGCTCTGCTTTTAACTCTGTAGAAATTAATTAGCAAGGTGAAAGAAACTCAGTAGAGTGGAAAAGAATAAATCTGCATATTTAGTCATTGTATGTAAATTGGGGCTTGGTGGAGATTTGGTCAGTGTATTCATGGGCAATCTCGGCCTGTTACAGAAGCCTTTGGATTCTCATTCCAAAGGACTTAACCCTCACCAGATGCTCAGTGGCACTGATGTTAAGATACATTGTCTTAAGCTGTACAAAACAAACTGAGCTCTGGGTTGAAGCTTTTAAGAAACATTCCTGCTGAGTTTGCCCTTCTTTGGTGTTATCTGAACCATCTGGGCTTCCTGCTGGTTAACCAAAGGCAGGAAATCCAGCTGGACTCCTGGAGGAGGCCCTGGGACAGCCTTGCACCATCACCTTTTCTTCATAGGAATGTTTAACACTCAACATAATTGTCTTTGCTCTGATCTGTATAATGGGATCTTTTTTTTTAAAAAGTGGCATGGAGCAGGAGTTGGCCGTGGGAGCAAGTGCCACCAGACACTGAAGCATAGGAATTAAAGCACTTTCTTAAATCCTTAACTTAGGTCTAGCGCCTTTTTAAAAATATTTGCATGCTGCTTGAATCTTCTAAAACACATACCTCTGCCAGGCACCTGGTGCCTTATACAGATCAGAGCAGGCAGTGCTCAGTCAGTCTGGGCTGTGTAAGTCTGTCCTGGCTGAACCTGCAGCGCTGGAGCTTCAGTGAATCACCTGTGTACCTGGACCTGTCCTCTCCCCTGTCTGTGCTGGGAAACGTGCACCAGTCTTGAAGCAGTTCAGTGGAATTCCTGGGGGTCTGTTCCTGCTGTGTTCAAACACAGACTGGAAAAGAGAACCTGCAAAAGCCATAATTAGCTACAGAGATGGAAGTGAAATGAGAACGCTGGTGCTGCCTGCTGCACTGTGCAGTGGGGGGTTGACTCTCTGGGATCCAGGTGCTTACTGCCTTCTCCAGACCCTTTCTTTTTGAAGAGGTGACCCAGGATCCTTCTATGGGCACAGCTGTCAATGGCAACTCTTAGCTCCTTGGAGATACACCCACCTCCACCTTCTCTTAGGTGATCTGTAGAAAAAGAACCTGTCCATAGTTCTGTCCATAGTTTTACAGCTTATATTTATTTGTATCATCTCTTTTGTCTAGGAATGTAAAGTGATCCTAAAATACAATGTGTAATAAAGTCAATAAGATTTATTGCATCTATCAAAACACGTGGTTTTCATTGTTAATTTGGGGCAGGACTCAGTGACTTCATGTTTCACAATGCCTCGCGTTATTTTTCTTTCATAGGAAGAAGTCTGCCCAAAGTAAGTGGAAAAATGTAAAAATGAGTAGAGTGCAATGAGTATTGTAATGTGTGTGTATGTGTGTGTATTATATACCTATATAATATATAATACAGATATAGATATATATGTGTACACACACACACACATATATATATATATAGGTGCTGATGCCTGCATGTGGCACCTTGGATTCCAGAAGTGCTGGTGAAACCCTGCCAGAATCCCAGTCCAGGGTGGGCCCCTGAAATGGGTGGTGCTGATTTAAACCAGATTTTTATCCTTTATCAGTGCTGTGGGGAGAAGGTGCCTCGGAGTACAACCACGATGTCCAGAGAAGGGAAGTGAAGGTGGGGAAGAGTCGGCAGCACATGTCTTATGGAGGCAGGAGTGTTTACCCTGGAGAAGGAGGCTGCAGGGTGACCTTACCACTCTCTCCACCTCCGTGAAAGGAGGTTGTAGCCACATGAGAGTCAGGCTCTTCTGCCAACCAGTGACAAAAGCGTTAAACTGTGCCAGGGATGTTTAAGTTGTACATCAGGAAGAATTTCTTAACAGAAAGGGTCATTAGGTATTGGAAGGCGCAGCCCAGAGAGGTGATGGAGTCACCGTTTCCGGAGGTGTTTAAGGAAAGGCTGGACGTGGCGCTCGGCGCCCTGCTCTGCTGGACACGGTGGTGTTGGGTCAGAGGTAGGACTCGCTGATCTCAGAGGTCTTTTCCAGCCCAACTGATTCTGTGCTAACCGGGATGCTGGAACTGCAATCGCCGCAGCCCTCAGCGGCGGGGGCTCAGCCTCGAGCCCTCAGCTCCAGCTCGGTCCCGCGGCCGCCCCCGGCCCGGGCGGTGCCACTTCCCCGCCGCGGCCATGCGGCGGCACAGGCCTCTCCCGCCATGAGGCGCAGCGGCCGCCGGGACTTGTAGTCCGCGGGCTATAGCGGTGCTGCGCTGGTGCCACGCATTAAAACTACAACTCCCGGCAGTTCTTGCGGTTTGTTTTCCTTCAAACCAGCCCCAGGCCCGCCCCCCCATCCCCTCCCCTCCGGTCCCTCCGTGTCCCGCCGCGGCCACCGTCGCCGGGCCCCGCCGCCCCGCCCCGCTCCCGGCCCTTTGACCCCGTTGTTATGCCGGGCCCGAGCCGCCGCCGCCGCCGCCGTCTCCCGTAGCGCCCGGAGCCGCCCCCGCCTCGCGCCCCGCCCGCCGCGCCCGCCGCGCCCAGCCCGCCCCGGTCGCCGCCGCCCGCCTGCCGCCCGCGCGCCCAACGGTCCGCGCCCGCCGCGCCCGCCCGCGCGGGAGGAGGAGGAGGAGGAGGAGGAGGAGGATGAAGGAGATGAAGCAGAGGAGGAAGAAGGAGCGCACGTGGGCCGAGGCCGCCCGCCTGGTGAGGCCGGGGGGGCGTCCAGGGAGGGGGCGCGGGGGCTCCGCCGTGCCTCAGGGCCTCCCCGCCGCGTCCGGCCCCTCCCCGAGTAACGGGGCTGGCGGCGCCGCCATCGCTCCTGAGGGGCTAAAAGCGGGGGCCGGGCCCGCCTGGAGGGCGCGGGCGGTGTTGCCGCTTCCCCGCCCGGTCCCGCGGCTTCCCGCGGTTCCCCCGGCGGCCGCTGTGGCCGGGCTCTCCCGCGCGGTTGTTTTTCTTCCTCAGCCCCGTGCGAAGGAGCTGCGCCCCGGGGCGGTGCGAGCGCAGCCCCCGGCCCTCGGTGGCGGAGCTGCCCCCGCCGGGGGTCCCGCGGCCTCCGCCGGGCGGGGCTGCAGCGGCTCCCGGTGTGGGACGCGGGAGGTGCCCCCGTCCCGCTGTGGCTCCGTGCGTGCCGGGCAGGGCTGCGGGCACGGTCCCGCTCGTTCTCTTCCTTTTGGAAGAAGATGGGTTTAAAGCTCCGTGCGAGGAACCGGAGCCTCCGGAGAGGGCACGGCCACTGTCAAAAGTTTCTGGTTTAATTACCGAGAGTGTGGGGTCCTTCTGTGCACCGGCAGCGCCCCAGGGCCGGTGGCGAGTGCTGGGCTGCTGTAGCAGCAGCTGGACTGAACATCCCTGAATCAGCCCGTATTTGGTCACTTTTGGGTTTAGGGGATGTGGCCATTGAGATGTCTCAGTCATT